GAAAGTAAATCCCTTAATTAATCAAGGAAATAAATCTCCTTGATTAATTACGAGAATCCGTCAACACTCCTCCTCAAGTTGGTGCACATACATCACCAATGCCCAACTTGGTAAGTGAGTCATGAAATATTCTGCCACAAACAGGTTTGGTTAAAATATCTGCCAGTTGGTCTTCTGATTTAACATATAGTAGGAGGATGATCTTCTTCTTAATCTTTTCTTTGATAAAATGTCTATCCACCTCAACATGTTTGGTTCGATCATGTTGAACTGGATTATGGGCAATATCGATGGCTGACTTGTTATCACAATGTAACTTAATTGGCTTTTCTGGCTTTCAGCTCAATTCTGTCAATAGTCTTCTGAGCCATAGTAATTCACAAACTCCGTGAGCCATTCCTCGATACTTTGTTTCTGCACTAGACCGAGAAACCACATTTTATTTTTTACTCCGCCAAGTGACTAGGTTACCTCTCATGAAAGTAAAGTAACCTGAAGTAGAGCGTCTATCAGTAATGGAGCCAGCCCAATCAGCATATGTATATCCAACAACTTCAAGATCTCCATTTTTTGAGAACATTAATCCTTTCTCAGGGGCTGACTTTAAGTATCTTAATATCCAATCAACTGCATTCCTATGAGACACACTGGGTGAATGCATAAACTAACTAACCACACTCATAGCATATGCAATATCTGGTCTTGTGTGAGCTAAATACATTAACCTTCCAACAAGGCGTTGGTACTGTTCCTTATTGGTTGGTTCTTGATCCATATCTTCACAAAACTTGTGTGATTCATCTCGATGAGTGTGTCAGCAGGCTTGCATCCAAGCATTCCTGTTTCAATGAGTAGATCTAATACATAGTTCCTTTGAGACAGAAATATACCAGTTGTGGACCTTGCTACTTCAATTCTGAGAAAGCATTTTAGATTACCTAAATCCTTCATCTCAAATTCCTGAGACAAATACTTATGTAGTTTCAGTTGCTCTCCTGTGTTGTTTCCAGTTACGACTATGTCATCCACATAAACACTCAATGCAGTAAGTCTTCTTCCATCACGCTTCAAAAACAAAGTGTGATTCGAATTACTCTGTATATATCCAAAATTCTTCATGGATTTAGTGAATCTGCCAAACCATGCCCTGGGAGATTGCTTTAACCCATACAATGACTTTCTGAGCTTGCAAACTTGATTCTCCTTGTCAAGAGCTAAGTTACATCCTGGTGGTAAGTCCATATATACTTCTTCTTCCAAGCCTCCATGTAAGAATGCATTTTTGTAATTCAAACTGATGTAATGGACAATCGAGATTTGCTGCTAGAGACAGAAGGACTCTGATAGTATTAATATTGGCTACTGGGGCAAAGGTCTCTTGGTAGTCTATCCCATATCTTTGTGTATACCCCTTCGCCACCAATCTAGCTTTATATATTTCAATGGATCCATCTGCTTTGAGTTTCACAGTATAAATCCACTTGCATCCCACTGTCTTCTTTTCATGAGGTAATGACACGAGTTCCCATGTGCCATTCTTCTGGAGAGCTCGTATTTCTTCATTCATGGCTTCTTTCCATTTGGGGTCTTCTAGTGCTTCAGTTACACTGTTGAGGACAGATATGTCGGCCAACTACTTCACAAAGTGTACCCGTGACTTTGATAATCTGTTGAGAGATATATAATTGTTGATGGGATATTTCCCTTTTGCATTAAGATCTGCTTCGTAGTGGACTGGAGGTTTGCCACGGTTCTTCTGTTTTGGAATCTGATATGTAGGCTCTATGCCTTCTGAAATCAAATCATTATGGGATATTTCATTAATATTATTAGTTTCAGGAAAAAATGTTACTTGAATGACGTCCTCAGCAGGTGATTGGTGTGGTACTGGAGCTGAAGAATTCTCCGGAGTGAGCAAAATCTTGTTAATTTCCTCCTCCTGAGTTGGACAGCGAGGAGACGATCAGCCGCTGTCCTCTGGTGACCGGTCATTTTTAAGCAGATCGGTTTGGGACAAATTTCCGGGGAGTGACCGGTCGCTGCCAACATGCGATCGGTCATTTTCGGGTAGAGTCATTCGCGACCGGTTGCTTGAAACATGCAACCGGTGGTTTTCGGGCAAATTCATTTGCGACCAGTCGCTTGAAACCTGCAACTGGTCGTTTTCAGGCAGAGACGAAAAACCTGAATTCTGGCATGAAACTGAGTCCCCTTTAGTTTTAAGAAGCGAAATCCAAGTCATACATGTGCAATCATCTATAAACATGATAAACCATCGAGCTCCTGCCAGAGTGACAATTTTAGCAGGTCCCCAAACATCATAATGAACAAGGGAAAACAGAACCAAACTCTTATTTGAACTTAATGGGAACAGAACACGATGGCTCTTAGCCAATTCACAAGTGTCTGCCGCGCAAATCTCACGGCCTGGAGTTCCGGGCCAAGGGGATATGCGTTGACACGCGGCTTCCTGCTTTTGGGTGCGGTGCGGTTGTGCGCGGGTGTGCCAGCACGATCTACCGTGCGTCGAGATGTTGATGAGTGTAGGATGGATAAGTGGTGCGCCTGTTTGAACTCGTCTTCTAATCAAACGATTGTAGCCGAGAGAGGAACTAGTCTCGGCTGTTAGGTTCACGGCATGAACTACAAGGCCGTTGAGTGATGGTGTTGGTGGTGGATTTTGGGCGGTGCTCCGGCGCGTTGCTCAGGGAGCGACGGTCGTATGATATATGGGGTGAGTGAACGAACAACAGGGATGG